CACACACACACTGTTCTTGAGGCTGGGGACCCCCCTGAGTGCAGCATAGTAAGCGGCTCAGGGGCTGCAGCCAGAAGGGGGATCAGCAGAAATTCAGCACCGCTGCCTCACCCAACTACAGCTTTATAGGATCTGACCCCAAATTTTAATGAAGAAGATGAGTCGGGTTTTATACCCTACTTTTCTCGGCCTTCTGGAGTCTCAAAGTGGCTTATAATCACCTTCCCTTCCTCTCCCCACAACAGGCACCTTGTGAGTTCTGAGAGACCTGTGACTGGCCCAAGGTCACCCAGCAGGCTTCCTCTGGAGCAGTGGGGAATCAAACCAAATTAGAATCCTCCGCTCTTAACCACCATATCACACTGGATCTAATGGCACTTGCAATTCGTCGTGTTTGTGATTCAAATGCAGCCCATTGATTTCACCCTTCTCTTTTGACAGGAAAACCTCTTTTAAATTATGTTGGACCAAAGACAGATACCTTCGGAGGTGAAAAGATGCCTGAGCTCTCGCAAGTAGACCTTCCCAGTAAAGGTCCAGTGTCGCTGAGTCCTCCAGACCACGCAGAAGTCGGCCAGGTTTTATCATCTCCTCCAGTCCATCCAGCCGTCTTGTTATCTCCTCCTCTACAAAAGAACAGCCAGACATCACTGCCTTTTCAGGATGGTAAGACGGCTGCTTGAACGGTGTGACGATTCCTGGCTGTCAGTAAACCTTCATGAGTCTGGCTCTCTGGACAAATACATACATTCTCTAAAAAAATATTTATTTAGGGCCACTGTAATGCCACTTGCATGCTGCATCTAGGCCTAAAGTCAGTTTGATGGTTGTAACTGGATGATTGTGGCCCTGCCCCTTCCCCATTTTGAAGCGCCGTGCAGTTCTTTTGGCCTCATCGGCCAGGGTACTTCTGCCTTAGTTAACCAGCAAACATCTGTGCGGTCTTGTTTTCCTCTCACCCGGTTGTGTGAGTTTATTTGTTTGTTTTGGCACTGTGTCACTTTAAGCCAGCTTTAAGGCACAGCAGCACTTAACCAGAGAGCTCTGCTGTGCTTGACATGAGTTGCCTTTCCTCACTGACAATGGTCCAAATCCATCCTCTGAGGAAAAGGGAAGGCCCATCAAAACTGCAGTAGGAATTACAAATTACGAACTCTGTTCAGAAAGGACTTTACATGGATAAAAGCTTTGTCGTCATCTGGTGGGCAACCCCGTGTGCACCGGTCTGTTTTGCTCAGTATCCAGGGCTGTTCTCAGCCCAAATAACTGAGGCGTGTTCCTGAGGCGCTTATTCCTCCTGATCCACACAGCCACCAGGTGAGTCTGAGGTGAGGTTCTTGGTAGTGTTGCATGGCTCAGCTTGCTCCCAATCTGGCAAAGTACAACCCTCATCTCTTCCCCTGTACCCCCTTTTGTGTGCTGGCAGACCAGCAGTTTCACAGGTAGACATTGTGTTGTCTGTCCTCTGACATCAGGGTGTTTGGTAATGGTTGCTTAGCTGTGGTGAGGGGCTAAAGTATTGTTTCAAATGTCAGCAGTTTTTGCGTTTCGTGGCACTCTGGAGAACGGCAGAATCTACCAGTCAATGTATCCTCAGAGCAATCTGTGGTCTTGGTGAAGTACTGAGCACAGCTCTGCAGATCCGAAGAGCCTGTTCCCATGGAGTTTGGAGTGTGTCCCCCTTTTTTTAGGAAAAAAAAATACGAGGAAGTAGCAACCCTAAAAGGATCTGTTCTCCCCTTTCAAAAGCTTGTAAAGCACACAATTTTGGCTTGATGATAGGTGCAATTATTTTGTGTTGAGTATATGCTCAGGTATTATAATCCCACCTCCTCTTTTCCAGAACCCTTTTCCCTCCTGCACTTAGGGCCAACCAGACAACACACTGAATATTGTATGATTAGAGCTCCCAGTGTATTAAAGTGTAAAGTTTTTAGGCTTGATTCAGAGTGATACAAACAAAAATTTATAAGGAGGTACACAGTAAGAGATCCAAAACAAAACGAGAACACTGTGTACAAAAACAAACAAAATAAAGAAATATTAAAAATGTACTGAAGACTCAGGGTGCTTATTACAAATTACATGGTGAAAAACTCTGATTACTCAAACCAACGTCTGTAACCTGTTACAAACACCAATTTTCAGAAATAACAATTCACAAATGATACATAAAATACATAATGGCTCAACGGTAGCGCTTAGTTTCTGCTTGGAAACACAATCCTTTAAATATAGTCTGAATAGTAGCTCTTCAATTAGTTGTGTTCCTCCTGGATACGCTCAGCAGTAGAAGTAGATTTATGATGTGGGAGTCGCTGGAACCCGTGCCTAGATGGAATCGCATCTAATCCGAGTTTCCCACCATATAATTTGTAATAAGCCAACTGAGTCTTCAGTCATTTTTTCATATTTCTTTATTTTGTCTGTTTTTGTACACAGTGTTTTCATTTCATTTTGATTCAGAGTGGAGCAGCAGTGAGGGCTGCGGGTGGGTTAAGGCTCCCCATCACCGGTTTTCTGAACTGAAACGGCCCAGGGTGGAGGTGGGGGGGCTGCTGCTTGGAGAAAGGCACAGATGAAGGAGGAGGCGGAGGAGGAGATTTATACCCTGCCTTTCACTAACCGAAGGCGTCTCAGAGCAGCTTGCAATTTCCTTTCCCTTCTCCTCCACACAACAGACACCCCGTGAGGTAGGAGAGGCTGAGAAAGCTCTCTTGAGATACCTGATCGCAGGAGACCAGCGTCTTGTCAAGTTTCACCTCTGCGTAGCCTAGTTAAAGAACCCCAGTATATGATTCAGGGTGACCAGATCAAGATGCTTCCTGACTCTCTTTGTCTTCCCCACAGACTCCAGTGGGAGGGAGTCAGACCAAGAAGAAAGATCTTCTGTCTCGAGCAAACCACTGACGGCGTGGGAGGACAGTGCCCTCTTCCCCCAGAGAGGCAGAGCTCCCTTCGCAGCTGGAGCCCCGCAGAACTCCCTGCAGACGGACAGCCACCCTGCCCAAGGTGCCTTCTCTGTAGCGGCAAGACCAGGCCTGGGTGGCTTTGCAGAGAGACTGAATTTGGGCCCACCCACGGCGTGCGCACGGGATGATGACCTGCAGGGGCAGATAGCCCAGCTCACGTTCCAGAACTCCGTGATCCGAGCTCAGCTGAACCAATCCCGGCCATCTCATCCAGAGATGGGAGACTGTTCAAAGCAACCAGGCACAGCACAGAATGCCTCGGGCAAGGAAGGGCAGGTAAGGGTGCACGTGGCTGTGGAAAATAGCCCCCCCCTCCCCGTTTGATATTTAAGGAAGGGTAATACAACCCCCTCCTTCAAAGCTAAAACATGTGCCAGACTGACCAATTTGTTTGCATTCTTAGCACACAACAGGTTAATTTTGAAGCATTGTTTAAATTTATTGCATAATTGTGCTGTTAGACTACTGTGGTATTAGGCAACAAATTGCCCATCCCCCTTATTGTAAGATCCCCGTTTGATATTTAAGGAAAGGTAATACAACCCCCTCCTTCAAAGCTAAAACTTTGTGTGCCAGACTAACCAATTTGTTTGCATTCTTAGCACACAACAGGTTAATTTTGAAGCATTGTTTAAATTTATTGCATAATTGTGCTGTTAGACTACTGTGGTATTAGGCAACAAATTGCCCATCCCCCTTATTGTAAGAATACATTCACTGGCCGCCGCTGCCCCCTTTTCCTCTTACTCTGTATTCCCCTACCCCAGGCTTTCTCCAGATCGCTATTTCTGCTACAGAGAATCGGGCTGCCCTCTTCACACTGGGCTTGTGCAAACAGTGGCTGCTATTTTTATTTGTGGAAGGCCATTCCATAGGAGAGGCTTGCTTTACCGAATGAAGTTCTCTGAACTTGCTCTTACTTTACTGAATCTTTTAAAAAGAACCTCCTAATTTTGAAAGCAGACAGTGAATTTCCAGCAGACCCATGCGAGAAATTCCCCCAGGCATATTAGTGAATTTTTGACTGAATGTAAGCTGGCTAAGGAAGGAATGTTTTGAATTTGTTCAAAAAAGTTGTAGCAAACTTTCTGCAGATTTGTCTCAAGTTTCGCTAAATTACATTGCTCTTCAACTAGATCCTCTATGGCAGAGTTCTGACTGATTGGGCACGTTTATCTAGTTTTGTAAGGAATAAGTAAATGGGGAGGGGGCTAGTGAGGGGTCGGGGGGGTATCTCGTTTCCCATACTATTTCTGCTTTCCCTCCCCCTGGCTTCCTCATAAGCTCTCCCTTTCCCCCTGCTTCCTTCTCTCTAATCTGCCAACCTACCTTCAGCAGCCTGGTTTTCTAGTATCTTTTAGAACTAGTGGTCGGTGCCTCTCAGCTTCATATCGTCTGTAGAATTTAATGACTATTCTGACAGCTCTTTGCCCATGTCACTAATCAGTGTATCAAGTAAACTAGGATTGACTGCTCTCCAACTTGCGGGGACTACGCTTTAGCAAAATCCTTCTTCTCCTCCCCCTTTACCCAGCGCCTGATTCCATCGTGTAGTCTGTTAATTTAATACCCGCTCTGGCGATAGTACCTTGTTAACAACCAACAGTACAGCACACCGCAAGAAATAGCAAAAAACAACAGAAAACAACTGTGAGTTGAATTACCCGCAAAATTATATATCCAAAAGGAGACTTCAACAAGGTGAAAGAATGAATCTATACATATAATCCATCATAGGAAAATACAAAAGCCCACAGGATCCATGAAAGGAAAATACAAAGTCCAGAGTAGGTATCCAACACTTTTCGTAGGTAGTATTCAGTGTTTCAGACTTCTGGTCCTTCCTCGGGAACAAAGGATTATGGGCAAGGTCTCCTAAGCTTTAGTGAGCACCTCTCAAGGCTGCTTCTATGTAACAGGACCAAACATGCCTCCTAGAAAAAGTGTTGGATACCTACTCTGGACTTTGTGTTGTCCTTTCACGGATCCTGTGGGCTTCTGTATTTTCCTATGTATAGTTATATGTATAGATTCATTCTTGGTTACATGTGCATTTCACTTTGTTGAAGTCTCCTTTTGGATATATATTTTTGCGGGTAATTCAGCTCACAGTTGTTTTCTGTTGTTTTTTGCGATAGTACCTTGTTACCATATTGAATGTTTCGTACCCTGTCTCAGAATCCACAAGATATCGTTTAGCGCAGCCCTCCATCTGCCGACTGCAGCAAAGAAACGTGTTCGGGCCGACCGATTTAAAACTTCTCTTCGATCCTATTCATGAATGCTCGTTTAGGAAACCAGCCAAGCCACGAGCAGCTTGAAAGAGCCACCCAAGAGCCTGGACTGCTGCAGCTGATCAATCAGCAGAAACTGGCCACGTTGGTCTCTGTCTCTCCGCCCATTTCACCGATTCCATTGCCCGCTGTAAACCTGGGCGGTAAGTACAGAAAACTGAAAGCAGCACAGATCAAGCGTCTTATACGCAAGGGAGGGATTTTGTGGTTCACTTGTTGCTGGGCTTCCACCTGGCAGGTTTCCCCCTAGTTTCCCAGCCTCAGCCCCATAGAAGCCCCATAGAAGTGGCCAGCCCTCCTCCCCTGAGCTGCCAGGGCTTTTGCAATATTTTTTTAAATCAGCACAAGAATATTTTTATGTCACGGTACTGATAGGTGTAGCAGACAATGCTCCCTCTAAGCCGTGGAGCCTTGTGAGCCAAAAGTCTAGTTTGTGAGGTACTGGCATGAAAGTTGTGAGCGAGCGATTTGGCTCCGGCATCAATTAGTTTGCTCTGGAGCCCTTCTTCCTGAGCTAAGACAAAAATGTGTGCGCCGGAGGCTAAAATAACTGTGAGCTAGCTCACACTAACTCAGCTTAGAGGGAACACTGGTAGCAGAGTCTTGAAAGCCAGCATGGTGTAGTGGTTAAGAGCGGTGGACTCTAATCCGGAGAACCGGGTTTGATTCCTCACTCCATTTAACCTTGGGTCAGTCGCAGTCCTCTCAGAGCTCTCTCAGCCTTACCTACCTCACAGGGTGTCTGTTGTGGGGAGAGAAAGGGAAGGTGATTCTTTGTGACTTCTCCAGGTAGTGGGCGGGGTATAAAAACCTCCTCCTCCTTCCCAGCTTTCATTCAGGGGGAAAAAGTAAGTTGCTAGCTCTTTCCCTTGTGGAGATATAAAGGTAAAGATATACCTTCACAAGGGAAGGGGCTTGAGGCTTTTTAAAAAACCTGAAAGCTGAGAACTCAAGAGAACATGCTACATCTGATGTTACAACGGCACATTGATATAACAATACCCTAGCGCAGATTTCCAAAAAAATTTAAATTCCATGGTGGAGGTGGGGAAGAAATGGCTGCTACGGGGGACAGGGTCAGGGGGAATGGCTGCCACATGGGCCAGAAAATTCCAAATTTACCCACCCACATAGCAGCCACCCAGGCTTGTCCAAGATCTTTCCCAACACTTTGCAGCAAAGCAGGTTTGAGAAAGACGGAAGAAAAGCCAGGGAAGCCCACAGTGTTACAGGAATGCACCGTGATGTTGTGGAGAAGACAGAAAAAAGAAACACTTCACAGGAGCATCAGAATTGGGAACGGATAACCGTGTGGAGGAAGGCCCCCTCAATATGACCAATTGGCAGTGGCAACCAGTGTTCCCTCTAAGCTGAGTTAGTGTGAGCCAGCTCACAGTTTTTTAGCCTCCAGCTCACACATTTTTTGTCTTCGCTCAGGGAGGATGGCTCCGGAGCAAACTAATTTATGCAGGAGCCAAATCGCTCGCTCACAACTTTAATGCCGGCAGCTCACAAAAGTAGAATCTTTGCTCACAAGACTCCTCAGCTTAGAGGGAACATTGGTGGCAACATAAGGGCTTGTTTTGTGAACCCTGGCTGTCTTCGCTCAGTAGCCTTCTAACTTGTAAAAATTCCAGTATGGTACTCCATTTTAAAAACATTGATAGCTGTTTGCAACACCTTCTCATCACCACTACACCTAAATGTCTTCTACTAATTCAGTAATAATTATTATTATCGTATGGCATTGTGTGTAGTATAGCCAGGAAATTCTGTAATTATCTGGCAGCCTAAAGTTCTAGCTCTTTTAGCATTATGTACCACTAGGTGGTGAGCTAGACTTGTTTTTTGGGCTGAGAGGTCTGAAAGAGCTGTGACTGACCCAAGGTCACCCAGCTGGTTTCATGTAATTCAGTAGCCAGTGACTAACACTCGGTTTCTTTGTTTTGCTTGTTTTTAAGAAAGTGGAAGGAGGAAAATTGAGGTGTCTATTCCGGTGGCAGAAACTCTGGACAGTTCCAAAGAAGATATTCCTTCCCCTGCCAGTGGGACCAGCGCAAGAAGGTAAAGGTCCAGTGCTTAGGATGAGAAATGTCTTTACAGGCAAGGCAAAATGGCACAGGCAACTTAAAATACGCTAACATGTGAAACGTTCTGTTTATAGCCTTCATTTAGATTTTTGAAGTTGAGAATGATCACAGCTTTAGGCTGTCGAGACAGAAGGGGGCTGGCCCAAGATGGCAGGAAAGTTTTGTGGTTTTGTTTTTTTCCCCATTTGAGAGTCCTCTGTAAGTCCTGTCTGTCTTATAGAGTCCCCTGCCTGTTTTCCTCCTAGCAACATGAGCAGCCTACTAATTCTGCCATAAATACAGCAGAAACCTAAATGTAAACACAGTTTTATTGAAGCAGGCTGAAGGTCCATGGAAGTGTTTGCAGACCTTTTAATTAGATGATGGCAGCAAAGGTGAAGAGTCAGAGACAGGGCTTTGTCTGAGGTGGCCCCTTTCCTATGGAATGCCCTTCTTTCCCCCCCCACCCCCCCCCGCCCACAAGGCTTTCCTGGTGCCTGCCTTAGTCTCCTTCAGGCACCAGGTCAAAATGTTTATTTTTTCCGGGTTTTTAACTAACAGGTTCCCTCTCTTTTAGCTGTTTTGTAGTCTGCTGTTTTATGAATATACTTTTAGGTTGCTCAGTGTTTGTTTTTGTGCTGCTTTTATACCTTTGCTTGTTTGGTTTGTTGTCAGCTGCCACAAGCTGGTTTTTGGAGAGGCGGCATACAGATTTTCTAAGTAAAGGGGAAAACACAGAGAAGTGCAATATCTGGACGTCTTGCTGTGTTCTTGGCTCTCCAGGCAACTAGCGTAAAGATTTACCATTGTTGTGTAGCTGAAAAGGGAAGGGAAAAGAGTACAGAAACGGAGCTCTCCCGGCAGCTTTTTTCCCCCAGCCAAGAGGGGGAGAGTGTTTGAGGGAAGGAAACATGCTGTGGAGCTGTAGGCTTTTCCTACACACTGGGAGAATATTGTCACTGGTGCATGTCCCTTTGTATGTGAAGAACCCAGAGGCCGCATCACTCTTGTCCTCTGCCGGGGTGATGCCATCTCATGCAAAGACACAGTGCATGCTCTGTTAGCCCAATACTGTTTGCTCCAATTGGTGGTGGCTCTCCCAAGTAGCGATCTTTCCCAGGCCTCCCTCCTGTTCTCCTGTGCAGTAGCATGGACGGAACTTAGGGTCATCAGCCCGCAAAGCAAGAGCCCTTTTGCTGCACCGCGGGTCCTTTTAGTTCCTGTAACTGAATAAGGGCTGACTGTGCTGATGGTTAACTGTGTTGCTCTCGTTTATCTGGGCCTGCAGTTCTGAGGCGGGCTGGCTGTGTCTTTGGGTAAGGTCACGAGCATCCTGACCCGCCTTTCTCTCCTCCAGCTGCTGAACATAGAATGATAGAGTTGGGAGGGGTTATAACAGGCCATCTAGTCCAACCCCCTGGTCAGTGCGGGATCAGCCTAGAGCATCCCTGACAAGTGTTTGTCCAGCCGCTGCTTCAAGACTGCCAGGGAGGGGGAGCTCACCCACCTCCCCAGGCAGCTGATTCCACTGTGGCGCAACTCTCACTCTAAAAATGTTTTTCCTAATATCCAGCCAGGACCTTTTCAGCTGTAATTTAAACCCATTCTTGCGGGTCCCGTCCTCTGCTGCCCACAGGATCAGCTTCCTGCCCTCCTCTAAGTGGCAGCTCTTCAGATGCTTAAAGAGAGCAATCGTGTCTCCCCTCAACCTCCTCTTCTCCAGACTGAACATTCCCAAGCCCCTCAGCCTTTCCTCATAGGGCTTAGTCTCCAGGCCCCCGATCGTCCTCGTTGCTCTCCTCTGCACCTGGCTCCATTCTGTCCACATCCTTTTTTGAAGTGAGGCCTCCAAGACTGCACACTATACTCTCGGTACAGCCTGACCAAGGCGGTGTATAGCAGGACTATGACATCTCGTGATTTGGATGTTACAGCTCTCTTGATACAAAGAGATTTTGTTGATACAGAAAAGGGGATCTTGCAAGGAAAAATTCTTCCTTTCTTTCCTTCGTAACCTGTGTGCCTATAGATCTTCAAGTGCATCAAGCCAGACGAGTCTGCAACACAGTGCTACACTGGGAAACGCACCGTTGATACCCGACAATCACAAGGTTAAGGTAAGTCTCCTCCTCCTCCTCCTGCACCGGATGTTTCCTCATCTGGTTGCACAGCAGAATGAGAAGAGTGAGACTGACGTCGCTCTGAAGTCCTGGTGCCGTGTCGTTTATGTTTTTTGCAGCATGTTCCTTATAGTCCCTTTTTGCCTGTCTGATCACCGATTTGCATTTTGTTTGCCCAGTCCTGTGCTCCCTTTCATGTACCTCACTCGAACTAGCCTTCACCGCTTAAAGGAATCCTCCTTACCTTTTACTCCTTCCTTTAGTTTGTTTGTTAACCATGCAGGCCTTTTTTATACCTATTTGTACCTTTCCTAACCTGTGGTATACATTTTATCTGAGCTTCCAGGATTGTAGTTTTAAATACTGTTCCAAGCTTCCCAAAGGGATTTAACCCCCCTTTCTTTTCCTTTCAGTTTCTTCTTCACAAGCCCCCTCATTTGAAAGAAGTTACCCCTTCTAAAGTTAAATGTGGTTGTGTTGGTCTTTTGGGGGCAACTCCCTATTTACACAAATGCTAAACTTAATAGCATTATGGTCACTGTTCCCAACGGATGCTATCATGCTTACATCTCTCCCCTGCTCTTGAGCATTACTTAGGGCCAAGTCCAGGAATTGCCTCACCCCCAGGTGGTTCTGTGACCGTCTGCTCCATGGCACAGTCATTGAGAATATTTAGAAACCCAGTCTCTTTCCCGACTTTGACACATATTGACCCATGCACCTATTACGACAGAGTTATTTCATCTAGCTGCTGTTTCCTTAATTCTTTTGCTGTTTTTAAATCATTCTCTAACCTTTGATCTGGTGGACGATAACAAACTCCTCGGGATAAGCTTCCTTTTGGGCCCCCCTATTTCCACCCATAGCGTTTCTGTAAGCGAATCTATTTCTCTCAGATTCTCGGTTTTACTGGACTGTATACCCTCTCTGACATGCAGAGCCACTCCGACTCTTCCCTACAAGCATTAGGAAAGGTACAAGCAATAGGAAGGAGTGAGGAAGTGTGCAAGTTCAGCAGTTAGGCAGGTTTGTGTCCATTGCAAGTAAACGCCTGTTTGTGACTCTGGCACACTCACTGGTCCACACTGGAATTCCATATGCGCACTGGCTATGTTTTGACTTGTGTGGCTGTTGAGAAAACCTAAGTCCTTCAGTAAGAAGAAGAGATTGGATTTATACCCTGCCCTTCACTCAGAGTCTCAGAGTGGCTTACAAACTCCTTTCCCTTCCCCTCCCCACAACAGACACCCTGTGAGGTGGGTGGGGCTGAGAGAGCTCTTGACAGAGACTGCTCTTTTTCAAGGACAGCTGTGCCAGAGCTTGCAACTGACCCAAGGTCACATCAGCAGGTGCAAGTGGAGGAGTGGGGAATCAAACCCGGTTCTCCCAGATTAGAGTCCACGCACTTAACTACTACACCAAGCAGTCCAGGGAGTGCCCTCTGATCTCGCCTTCTTTCTTTTCATTCCCACAGGCCGAGAAGCAAAGAGAAGAAGGCTGGTTTGCCTTGTCAATGAACGTTAGGTAGCGCCATGTCCAACTAGCTTACCTTGGCGTTCAACGGGTTTTTAATGCATTCTTGTACTGTCCTCCAGCCTTTTGTGGCAGAATCTGGGAAGCGTCTATTGGCCGATGCTGCCTGTAGATGTGGGGATCCCTCTACAACCATGCTGTGTGCTTCACAGTTGGAGTTTGTGTCCATATCTCCCAAGTGAACGGCGACTGAAGTCTTGGATGTCTCCATCCCATGTCAGTATTTGTGGTCGACAGCAGGGATATCCACTTGGAAGCGCAGCAGGATGAACGTGACTCCCTACTGCAAGCTTGCATGGACGGGTCCTAATACTGCCCTGTTGAAGTTGAGCCAGTTGGCGTTAATGGCGCTGCTCATACCAATGGCTTGCCATGTGCCACTTTCTCTGCTTGGGCCTTGATATCCAAGAGAGATTCCCTTCTAAGCTGAATACCAAAGAAAACAGCTGCTAGAGAAGACCCCAGCTGTTCTTTGAGACTCATCTCTGACATAGAACACAAAACAGAGACATCTAAAATTGAAACTGCTGTGTACAGTTAATGGGTTGGATCCAGAGGAGGATTTCCCGGGGGGGGGGCAGTTTCTTTCATCCCACTGCAGGCTTCCAGTTCCCCCTCATTGTGTTCCCGGGGGGGGGTGTGTGTGATCTCCTGTCCCTCCAGGAGCAGCATTTTTGGCTACAGCAGGAGAAGGGAAACAAGGAAGTTGTGTTGCGTGGGCGAAAATCCCTTCCATCAGTGGAAATTTCCCGTGGATCCAAGCCAGTCGTTTTTAGAAGGGCCAGACATGACATTAATGGTAGTGTCAGTGGAGAATGGTAAATTCATTGTTTTAAGGTTGCATCTCTTGGATTAAATCACATTGCGGTATGAAACTGATCTGGGTTTTATTGTAATATTCTAGGGTTTGTATCTTTTTGACGGCAATATAAATAAAACTATAAAAGAGCATCCTCGTGTTGCTCCGATGAACCAACGTGTCTCTGATTTTATTCACTTTTACCATTACAATTTGGAAAGCAATCATTCACTGTTTCAGTGATGTTCAGTTTCCGATGTCTGGTTCGCCCAAAGGCACTTGTAAGATCTGCAGAAGAGTGTATCGGTCAGTTCCATGGGAGACATCAGTAACTATGAAGCTCAGATGATACTACTCTGTACAAATTTAGCTAAGGTGAGTGAAATATGACGCCCCTCCCTCTCAAAAAATTGTGTGCAAAACTGTAAGAGCCACAAATATAACTTCAACCCATGGCTGAACTGCCTGTTTATACCGTTGATGGGGAAGAAATTATCTTTGGTCATAGTTTCCTGTGTCAAAATTGTGCACACAGTTATTTCAGAAG